GGGGGGGTGATGGGATGAACTGGGAGATAGAGATTGACATGTATACACTGATATGTATAAAATAGATAACTAATAAGAACCTGCTGTATAAAAACTAAATAAAATAAAATTCAAAAAAATAAAAAAATCAAATCTTGGAAAAGAAAAAAAACACAGGTTAAAAGAATTTGGACTAAAATGAATATAGCGTAATCCAGTTTATGTTAAGAAAAAGCCAGCATACATGTTTATATGTGTAAAAACACATAAAATGGAAGCTGAAAAGCTGTTCACCTTCTGAAATCAGTGACTTCTGATTTCAGAAGAGGAATAGTAAGGAAGTTCCTTCACATTTTCTCTGCGTATTTTTGTACTCTATCTTGGCACTAGAGAGATGCAGGATTAACAGTTGCTGTGATCTGAATGCCTATTTTGTGCCTTTTATTGGTAGGCCCATTACATACGTGAGCACATTTAGTTTGTAAATCTGGTTTGCAAATGAGAAAAGTTGCCATATTGTGTTAAGTGACTTGTCCAAGGTTATGTTCTATATTGCTTTATGCATACATATTGTTAAGTAAGAAGGGATTATATCTAAGAGGTTTACCAGCTTTTTTTAACCTTAAAACTATTGAGAACATCCTTTTATGTCAGTAAATGTAGATCTATATCATCTTTTTTGGCTTGTGGGACCACACGGCTTGTGGGATCTTAGTTCCCCAACCAGGAATCGAACCCGGGCCTTTGGCAGTGAAAGTGCGGAGTCCAAGTCACTGTACCGCCAGGGAATTCCCTATATCATCATTTTTTTAATGCCTATATAATACCACATCTTGTAGATGTACCATAATAGATAGAACCATTTCGCTGTTAATGGACACTTAGGGTGTTTGCAGTGTTGGGCTATCATAAATAAGCTGTAACATACACATGATAGACAGATCCATAACTGCAGAGTCAAAGGGGATTCGCATCCTTGTCAACATGGCTTTTTGTCTTTTGCCTAAGTCTGTGATAAACAATAAGAATAGTCTCATCTACACCTTTATGTGATTTAGAAATATTTTATTTGCAAAACAAAAGTGCGCAGCCTGTATTAGCTATACCATTCAGGCATAAAATGAGTAACTGTATTTATATTTATCCTTGTTTCATTTTGATGTTGCTAGAGATGCAAAAATTTGAAATTGTAACGATTACAAATGAAGAACTTATGGGTGTTATACATTCCACTTATCACTTACACAGTTAATATTTTAAGAATATTTCTAGCCTCAGGTTTTGCGCAGAAAGTCTCATCATTTTTAGTTACTTTTCATATGTACTGTTTTTAATGGAACGGTGGTGTAGAAAACCCTAAATTTCATACAATGAAAAACCACTGAGGTTTGGAATGGGTTATATTGAGAACGTAATAGTTGAGCATAGGTGCATTTGCCTTTCAGGTAATGTGTTTTCACTACATCAGTGACTACTGAAATCGCAGCCAGGAAGTAGCCAGAAAGCTCCTCCTTTCCGTCACTTCCGTTCTTGTGGGTGCCGGAAATGGACAATAAAATATCTCCTGAGGTGATCCCTCCAGGGCACAGCCATTTCCTACGTAAGACTGAACTTGTCTGGCTCACATGCCCCTTGGGAAGGAGTCTAATGAAACGGTTTTGTCCGGTGGCTGAGTTCGGAGGGGGAGGATATGCGCGGTCCTTGTGTCTCTTTTGGTTCCTGTTGGATTGTGTCCAGCTTGGAATCAGAGCCAGGAGCGGGGAATAGGAAAGCCAGGAACATTTCTCAGGAAGTAGCCGCTCTCCAGCATTCATGGCTGGACAGTTCACGATCTGATGTGGCCAAGCCTCCGTGGACAGCTCAGAACTGATTCCATGTCACCTTGTGACTGGGGGGATGACAGAAGTCGAGGGTCTCCTCACCTCTGTGCTGAGCTCTAAGTCTGGGAGACTGGCCTCAGAACTCTCTTTTTTCACAATCTGCTCCTTACCTCTTTGCTGGGCAGACACATGCATCCGCCTTGACACAGGTAAGGAACAGCAGGGGTAAGGCAGCAGACTCTTCCTTTATTTTGCTGATATGCATTGAATGACTCCTGCATTTCACACTCAGGCCTCCGAGCTGGGGACTCAGGAGCAAATCCCTCCCCAAATGGTCCCTGCCTTCATGGCACTTACAGTCCACTGGTGGAGCCGTGCGTCCATCACATCATCACATGAATAATTCCGAGGCTGAAACGTGCTACAGAAGCAAATCTCACAGCGCCGTGAGCTGCCGTAATGGGGGGCCCAGCCAGGCCGTGCTCAGCACAGCAAATGGAGGAAGGGGTGGCCTCCCTAGGGAGCACCGATCCCAGGACCGCGCATGTGCTGGAAACCTGTGCCTCTGAGAACGGCCCATCGAGGGTTAAAACCTGGGCCTGCAGGAATTGCTGCAATACAGATCCCCATGGAAATGGCCATCCAGGTGGAGCTGCAGCTGACCAGTACCTTGGCTTTGCCTTTTCAGGCGCAGTTTGACATCGCCGTGGCCAGTGAGGTCATGGCAGTGCTGGCTCTGACTGACAGCCTCACGGACATGAAGGAGCGGCTGGGCAGAATGGTGGTGGCCAGTGACAGAAACGGGCAGCCCGTGACGACAGGTGATTTGGTACGTCCATCTCAGAAGCTCCAGAGAGCTCGCTGCCCCTGTTCTTTTGTGATCAGAAGGAGGAAGGTTTTCTTCCTCTTACATCACTGGGTAATAATGGGAATTCAGAGAATTTCTGCACACGTTTTCCTGCTCACCATCCCGTTTGTCTTACAACTTCATTATGTTCTCACAGGCATTTATAACATGCTTGTGCCTGACTGCAACCAAAGCATATGAAACCTGTTTCGTGAGCTTTTCACGATCCTTTCCAATCCTGATCTCTGCTCTGCCTGGGGTGTGGTCATCCTCCTGCAGCCTGTGGCTTTTTTAAAAAAGTGTGATCTATGCTGGCTTTAAATTGAGGGCAAATCACCTTTCCAAGGGATAAGAAGTGACTCCACCTTCATGGAAGGGAAGGTTAAGTTAAAAATGGCACATTTTTGGCTCCAGCCTGCTCCCTGGGCACCCTGGCTTGTTTAATTTTGTGCCTTCGGCTTGGGTTTCACATTATAAAAACAGAGCTCCGCCTTAATCATTCTTACTCATGTAGCTTTCTGTTGCGTGGAATGATGCTTCTTACAAAGCTTTCATGGCACACCACCACCTTCCTTAGTGCTTTTTGTAATTTGGCATGCTAATCTTTTTTCCTTTTTTTTTTTTTTTTTTTTTTTTTTTTTTTTTTGCGGTACGCGGGCCTCTCACTGTTGCGGCCTCTCCCGTTACGGAGCACAGGCTCCGGACGCACAGGCCCAGCAGCCATGGCTCACGGGCCCAGCCGCTCTGCGGCATGTGGGATCCTCCCGGACCGGCGCACAAACCCGAGTCCCCTACATCGGCAGGCGGACTCTCAACCACTGCGCCACCAGGGAAGCCCTCTTTTTCCTTTTTTTAATAACCAACTTTACTGTTAATCCGCATCAATGGTGTAGCTATTTCATTTGCTTGTACGTGTTTATAAGCATATAGTACTTAGTACAACGTAGGCAGCCATTACTCTAAGTTTAAGCTTACTTTTCCACATATCGAGTCACGTACCATAATGGAATCTTAAATGCACACTGATGATTGAAAAACAGTTGTGAAAAGGAGACAGGCAAATTAATATTTTATTAATTCCAGGGCCTTGGGATATAATTTTAAACCTTTGCCAAAATGTCTTGGTTACCTTTTGGCTCTTTTGAAGAGATGAATCTGAATGACTCGAGTCTTGTCAGGTAGATTAAATAGATATATGTATATCAGCAGCCCATGGAATGCTTAGTATAAGGCTTAAAGAGAAAACTCAAACCCAGGTTGCTGTAAAAGTACTGCTTTTTAAAAATGATCGACATCTCAACATTTCTCTCTAAACTTGCATATAATTGCATATAATAGTTTCTGTATAAGTATTTATCTGTATCCTCTTAATCTTAGGGATCAATAAATATGTGCCAGGAGTAGTTTGAAACTTTATCAACAAATATTTCCCTAAAGTTACTCTTTTGGTTTTGATAAAACTCTTGGATCTGGACCCAAAAAACCCAAAGTTAACTCTTTTTAGTTTCCTTTTGTGTTTCTTGTTTGCAGAAGGTACCTGATTTCTTCATATATTTATAATAGGAAGGTTACAGTTCTTGCAAGGTTTATTTTCTGCAATAAAGTAGAAAGTAAATTCGATTTTTAAAGAAATCTTCAATGATTAAATATTATAAAAATACAAAAATAGAAACTGATCATATAAGAGAAACACTTAACATTGCTGGTGACTGGAGGTAGGAGGAGAAAGTAATAAACGAATGCACCTTGGAGCGCTGAAGAGTCTCTAGATTCTACCACCTTATCTGTTAGGATCTGTTGCATGCCACATTTATTTTTTCAGGGCCACGTTCACATGCATTGGCTAGTATTATGGCCTTCCCATAACTGACTAATCTGTTGAAAGATACTTGCCCAGTGTCTTTAGAAAAGGTGGAAGGGAGTTTTTTTTAAAAAAGCTTCCCTTTGTGGCCTTCTTTGGCACAAGTAGTATCCCCAGTAGCTCTCCGACTTCATCCCTGCTGTGTCTCTTCCTCCACCTCTTCTTTTCCGGGAATGGGATAGGGAGCTTCGAGAGAGCCCAACTCAAGCATTATAGGATTGGAAGGAAGCAGCCACAATCTATGTACAAGTGGCATCAGCTCCATTCTAGGCAGACATAGCACGAGAGACAGAAAAGGAGGAGCCTTTCCAATGCAACAGTGTTCTGAGTGCCTTCGGTTATCTGTGGGATGAGAGGTCGAGAGAGGGTGGGAAAGCAGATTGGGTGCCTTTAGACACGTCCCTTTCCCTTTCTTCGTTCCCTCTGCGTAACAAGCCTCGTTTTTGTTCTTCATCTGATTTCTCGGGGCAACAGTGTAATCTCTGGTAATGAAACATGATGTGCATAGTTGCAAATTGAAAGGTATGGCAAGCCTCTTATTTCCGTCAAAGGAGGTCTTTTTAAAAAATGCGATGACTGCTGCTTCCCCATCACATCTTAGAAGGGTTGGCATCCATTCAGGTGGAGCAGAGATGGACAGAGGCAAGAGCACTGTGTCACCTGTAGCTCAGAGCTGACGGCGGCCGGTGGCGATGCCCCCGTAGGAGGTAGGCTGCTGAGAAAAGGCTGAGAGACCCTCGTGCGAACGATCTTTTGTCAGTAATCTAAATAAGTGGGCTTTTTTCTCCCTTTCCTTCAGGGGGTGACAGGTGCTTTGACTGTTCTGATGAAAGACGCGATAAAACCGAATCTGATGCAGACCCTAGAAGTAAGTGATTTTCTTTTCATAGACATTGTCGACAGAGTTGCGCTAATGAGATTGCTTGTGCGTTCTCACACGTGAGCATTTCCAGCCAATATGAGCCCGTGAGGAGCATCAGAATAACTGCTTGGCCATCCCCCTGCAAAAGTTCAAAGTTCTTTGATATGATTCATATCTTGGCTAATTAAGTACTAAATGACCAGAGGAGAAACTTAGAAACTCAGTGTCTGATATCTCAGTAACTTGTGTAGCCATGTTTATCACGTTTACATGATGTTTTCTATGTTGCTTTTTTTTTTTTTTTTTGACTCAGCTTCTCATAATCCTTAAGTTTGGGGAGTTTAGGTTTTTGTCTTTTCTCTCTCCAAGCAAAACGCAGAGTATTCAATAAACTTAAACATACACACACACACACACACACACACGCACGCAGAGTAATGCTGAGAAATATTTTCTAGGAAAGTGTGCCGTGCTCCACTTTTTTAACAAGGTCGTTTTTTGTATGTGGCTTGCTCAGTGGGGGCTGACACAGCCGATGCTTTCCCTTCTGGAGCGCTTGTTCTCTTGCTTTTGACGCCTTGCTTTCCTGGACCTTCTCAGTGGCCTCTCCTCCGTCTCTTTCGCTGCCTTCTTCTCAATTCTCCAGCTGCGCTTTCCTCCAGGATCAGCCGTGTGATAACACTTGAACTCTGGCTCTGAATCTCCTGACCTCAGCATTTCAGACTTGTAGGTGTGGTTACTGAGAGCTGCTAGGGTGGGTAAAAGGCATTTCAAAGTTATGCATAAAAAAAAGCATCTTTGATTCCTGTCCACCTCCTACCTCCTCCCAACTCGTTCCATCCCCCAAACCTGGTCAGTGGTTCAAGCCCAAAACCCGCCTTCTTGTCATTTCCTACATGGCACAAAATATTATCTGAGAGCCCCTATTTCTTTTTTTGTTTATTGTATTTCTCCTCCCACCAGGATGAGAGCAGGACTTTTTCCATCTTGTTCATCATCATATCGCCAGCTCCTAGAAAGTTCCTCACACATATTAAGTGCTCAGTAAACACTTGCTGAAGAATTAAATGGATATTTATTGTTTTTACTCCATTGCTCCTAAAAATATATACATGTTAAATAAATAACTAAATAAATGAGAAAAAAATGTTTAAAGAGACATGATATTGCTTCATGATAACACTTCCCCCTCAAAAATGAACACATTATCATCATCATTAGGGATGATCAGCTTACTGTTTTAAATAATTATCTTTCTTAGATTAAAAATTACTCCCACCTTTAATACACATCCCACTCTAAAAGGCTAGTTTCTTGTTAGTTGAATGAATTACTGGGTTGGACTGCCCCTAAGCAGTTCTTACTGTGCTCACATTTGTGACGTCATTTTGATGTCACAGGCAATGGGCTTTGTTTGAAAAATGAGTACAGCATTCCGTTAAAATATCTGCACGTATGAACTCTGCTACCTGCGTCCTAAATATTCATTCCACATTAACGTGGCTAATCAGTGGCAGTAGGAACCTAAATCAACAAATGGTCTAAAAATCGCTGGTTAATGTACAGATTCTGCTTTAGTGCTCATGTTTGAACACACTTGATTGTTAGTCCCAGAGGAGTTTATCAAGGGCTCCATTGCTGCAAGGTGTCAGGAGACCAGTAGTTCTCAACCCTGGCTGCACATTAGAATCTCATGGAAAGATTAAAGATGCTGATGCCGAGCTCTCCCCTAGACAAAGTGAACTCTAGAATGTCTGCCAGGTAAGGCTTCGATACCCTGGGTGATTTTTGTATACATAAAAGCTTGAGAACTTCCCTGTGGAAGAGAGAGAATAAGAGATCTTAACATTTTACCATGGGTTAACCATGTGCAGTGTTGAGGAAAACACCCACTTGCTGCAGTCTTTTGTCCAGTATAGGAGCTCCTGGCCACTTGTGGTTATTTCAATCTAAATTAGTTTAAATAAAGTTTAAAATTCAGTTCTGCAGTCATACTAGTTCTGTTTCTACTTATTTATTTATTTTCACCAGCCACACTTTAAGTGCTGCATAGCCACCTGTGGATGGTGGCTATTGCATCAGACAGTGCAGATACAGAATATTTAGAGCACTGCAGAAAGTTCTTTGGATAATGCTTTTTTAGATCTCTGGTCAGCAAAGAGCAACTGAAGTTTTAATCTTAGGAAATGTTTAAAAAGTCCATCATGGAGAATATTCACAGCTTTGTCATCACAGAAGCCAAGATATTTCCTGTTATTACTTTCCTGAACGTTCTGCATATAAAATAAAATTTTGAACTCACGATAGATATTTTTATGTCTTTGGGTTAGTGATAGAATTTCTTAAACAAAGTATTAACTCCGTATACTGCATCATATAAGTATAAATATCAGTTGAGTGTGTATTTGTGTCTGTGTTTGAACGTCCAACAATGATGGTCTAAGAATTTTTCTATTTAAACCACATACTGGGAGTTCAAAAACCAGGGCTCTAATACTGATTTCGTGATTAATCTGTGTGGCTTTTAATTTCATTTTAAATTAAAATTAAATGCTGCCCATCCAGTCCCTGGAGTGGCTGTCCCAGGAATAGCAGTGTGTTTATGCTGATCCAGCCATACCCTGTCACCTGTCGCCCTGGAGACTGGTGCCAGGTGCTTCTCAGACAGATGGCCAGGATGAGGGTTGCAGGGCATAGGAGAGTGAAGCCAGCCGCCCACCCAGGGGTGGAGCCTGTGACCTTGTCTCTTTAAACTTTTCTCATTAGCTCCGCTGCTAGCTTTCCACAGGCAGCCACATCCTAGGACTGGCAAAGGCTAGGAGGTGATGGAGGCGTTAATACCTTTTAAACAGTGTTTCCGTCAAAGCACTTAAAAGGCTTATCTGCATAGAAGTGAGAAACTATAGATGGATAGACAGGTGGAGATCTAGACAGTAAACATGCATGTATGCATTTCCATAAACACGTATCCCACGGTATTATTTCCACAGACATTTGTATGGCCGTATCCGTACTCTGTGACTGTCCCTCCTGAGGACTTTGGGGGGAAAAGTAAATAGAAAACTCTGAGTGGATTTGATCAATTCCTTTTCACTCTCAGTGACGATTTTTCTTTCACTGCCTTTCTTCCTGCTTTTGTTCACCTCTCTCAGCTTTGAAACATGCTCGCCCACGGCCCATCCTGGTTCATGGGAACTTTCCATGGCTCCCAGGCCCCATCCCCTGCATCACTCCCTGCCTTCCCCATGTCAGTGAAAGGGCAACCTGTATTTTCACAGGTGGAGCCAGGGTTCACACACACAGACCTCAGTGGCCCCAGCTGACTCTGAATGCAGCCTAAACAATTTAATGCACGTGGGTGATTTTTTTTAGCGAGGGCTACAGTCTCTTCTCTTTGACAAAAGAGAAGTGTAGAAATGAAAGTAAGGATGACTATATGACAGATTTTGTTTAAATAATTAAAATCTAAAGTTTTTGAGAATTCCCTTTTTTTTTTTTTTTTGCCTTTTTAGTAACTAACATTTTAGTATGGTTGAAATTTTTCTTTTGTTTTAATAATTACCAGGTAACTTAACTTAAAAAATTAACAGATAAGAGAAACAATGAGAAAGACAAAGTTTTTAGAAATCAGAATAAGATTATTATTGTAAATATAAAAATGGCTTATAATAAAAAGTACTTGCCCTGGCATGATTCCCACGATTCATTTATTGTGTTGATTTTATGATGAATTGGTTAATTTCTTAATGGGGGTAAACAATTTAAACAAGCCTCTTAGACCAACAAGGTTTAATTCCATTCTTTGTAACAATATAATGCAGAATGATATGAAATAAGGTTTATTTCATGGTCACTGAGACAGCTAAAACAGTGGCTTATCAAAATTCTAGTAGGAAATAACTGATTCTCATAGCTTTTTAAAATTTGCTCTTCTGCTTCTACAGGGGACGCCCGTATTTGTGCATGCTGGCCCCTTTGCCAACATTGCCCACGGCAACTCTTCAGTGTTGGCTGATAAAATTGCCCTGAAACTGGTTGGCAAAGAAGGATATGTAGGTAAGTCACTCTTTTTAAATGTAGTTTTTGAAGAATATTGAAGAAATCTGGAAGGTGATGGCTGGAACAGAGTGAGATCCATTCTGACTTGAAATATATTCTTGTAATCCCGCCTTTCAGAGATGGCCTCAGTACTGGAAAAACCCTAAGGTCTGGGCTGTACTAGTGACATGACATTGTGGTCGAACCATAGATTTTGATGGTCAGGTGCGTGTGGTTTAGAATATAAGCTCTGACGCTTGCTGACGACGTGACTTTGGGTACAGTGTAATGACCTCTGAGCTTCAGCTTTCTCAGCTGAGAAATGGTGATAACAATATTGTATCAAACCTTATAGGGTTATTTTGAAAACCAAATGAGATTATTTATTCATTCAACAAATATTTATTGACAACCTAACACGTACAAGGCATGCGACTCAGAGCTGTGGCTGTGCGGTGAGCAAAGCAGACCTAGTCCTGCCCTGCTGGAGCATCCTGTGTGTGTAGTTTAACAGGAGAAAATGCTCTTTAAATGTTAGCCAACACTAGCAGTAACAGTAATACTGATTACCTGAAATGAAATCAGTCTTCTCTTCGTTGAATCCGAGTGTGGTTTTGTGGCCTAATGGAGAGGAGATTCCCAACCATTAGACTAGGACATTTTTATTAGTAGGGCCTCAGATGTTTTGCTGCTGTGAAGCTCTTCTTTGTGGTACCTGCTTCTCTCTGGGTTTTGTTGGATATTCCAGCCATAAAGAGGGGGACAGTGCCATAGAGTTTGCTCAGTCCGTGCCAGCCCCAATCCCACCCACAATATTAAGGTTGTAAGAAAGAAAAAGATAAACAAGGATTCGTGGAATATCACCTTAATTTGACATCTGAGGCATTACCCTGGCAGGTTTTCACATGCCAACAAGTAATTTACATTCACTGCGTGAGTGTCTTTAATCAAGTCTAGCAATTGCTTCTTTCACACTGATCGTTAGCCTTGTATCTCAGAAGTGAGTTATTTTACATGAAAAGATGCTGCTGGACAGAAGATCTTAGCTCTGCATTTTTACACTCGGCCGTTAAAAAGATCACTCAGGGTGGCTGAGTCTGTTTTAAGAATTCCTTATAGACATACAGTCAGGATCAAATGAGGATTTATGTAGTTCATTTCTCAAAGGTCTGCATTATACAGCTCTCGTGTACTTTGCTGCTTGGGTACGAAATCCGCTATGAGAGTAGCTAGACATGCTGTCTAAGTGGATTTGCTCAACTGATAACAGCATAATTGTAGAGCTAATGGAGGAGGTTGAGTAAGAGCAGGCACTGAAAAGCTGGACGCTTACGTGAAGTGTAGGTTCTAAAGCATCAACTCCACAAATAAAAGAGTTTCTAGAAAAAAGCACTCTATGCTGACAGAGCTCTCTGCCTCTGTACCAATCCTTCCTTTATCAACACATGTTTATAGAATATGTGTTGTCATGGCTAAGGATTTCTAAAGGCATATGCTGGTGATGCACACAGAACATACTAGCTCTCTGTGTGACCTTGGACAAGCCATTAGCATCTTTGGGCGTGTCCCTTGTAGGCAGTCTCATCTGAAAAATGAGAAGCTGGACTAGACAAGGAATTGGATCTGGATAGTTAGCCATGGACCCAGAGTTAGAAGCTGTGGAATTGGAACCCTGCCTGGTAACATGACTTGAAGCCATTTACTTAACTTCTCTAGTCTCTGTGTCCTCTCTGATAAAAGGAGAATACCTGTGCTGCAGTATTTTAATGAGTAATATCAAAAGAGAAAGTGCTTTTAAACGTAGAGAACTATGCAAATGTCAATAATTATGTGAATTGTTTCTGTGATCTCTTCTGCTAAGAGGCTGTAAATGGGAGATAGTTCAGTGACAGTGAAATCTGCCCACTGCCAGAGGTTTAGAAGCCTAGTTCTAGAATCAGAGTATCTCTGTCAACTCCTTTCAAGTTGTGTAACTTTAGGCAAGGTAACCCTTCTGTGCCTCAGTTTCCTTATCTGTAAAGTAAGGATTTTAATAGGACTTGCCTCATAGGTTTGAAATGAGGATTAAATGAGACCATGTATAAGTCCTGGCATGGCACCTGACACATGGTAAGACAGGATAATTCTTAGCCACTTCTCATTATTCACTCCATTATTGCTACATGACTAATGGAGGTTAAATTTCCTTTTTTATTTAGTTTTTATTTTCAACTGTGGCAAAATGCTTAGAACATAAAATTTATCATTTTAACCAGTTTTTAAATTTTTATTTATTTATTTATTTTGGCTGCACTGGGTGTTAGTTGTGGCATGCGGGATCTTTAGTTGCGGCGTGTGGGATCTTACAGTTGCAGCATGCGAACTCTTAGTTGTGGCATGCATGCGGGATCTAGTTACCCGACCAGGGATCAAACTGGGGCTCCCTGTGTTGGGGGCATGGAGTCTTACCCACTGGAGCACCATGGAGTTCCCATTTTAACCATTTTTAAGTGTACCACTCAGTGAAATGCTTTCACATTGTTGTGCAACCGTCACCATCATTCATCTCCAGGACTCTTCATCTTGCAAAACTAAAACTCTGTATCCGTTGAACAACAACTCCCCATCTCTCCAGTGCCTGAAACCACCCTTCTACTTTCAGTCTCTGAACATCACTATTCTAGATAATTCATACCAGTATTTTTGCTTTTGTGACTGGCTTATTTCACTTAGCATAATGTCCTCAAAGTTCACCCATGTTGTAGCATTTGTCAGAACTCCCTTACTCATTAATTAAGGCTGAACAATACTCCATCGTATGTATGGAACGCATTTTGTTTATCCATTCATCTGTCCACGGACACTTGGGTTTCTTCCACCTTTTGGCTGTTGTGAATAATGCTGCTATGAATGTGAGTGTACAAATATCTCTTTTTATATTATTTTTAATATATAAAGATCATGGTCCATCACATATAACTGTGTAACACCAGTGACTTAGATCAGTATAGACCACAAGACTCAATACCTGTGGTGTTAAACTCTCACGAAGGTGGCAAATTGATGCTGCAGCTCCATGAAATGCTGGGAGCAAAGTCAGTGTCGTGAACAGTGGGAATAAGGAACAACGCTCTTTCCCCGTTGCCTGGTCAAGCCCGCTCTGTGGGCTGGTTCATTCCTTGTACTTGGAATAAATTTATGGTAGATTGCTCTCGCTCCCAGTTAATATCTGGTTCCTTTAAAATATTTTTTAAAACATTCCTCTAGTCACTTTGGTCACAAAAATGGTCTCATTTTATTAAAAGGATATGGGTCCAGTCTCATGAAAACTCCAAATTTCACTCAGATTGAAGCTTCACCCTGCCTTCCTGGGTCTGCCTCTAGGTGACAGCGGGATGGGGAAGGTGGCTGCTTCTCTGACCCCCCTCACATTGCACTTAGGTCGACTCTGGCCCCTCCAGGGTTGAATTGAAGGTTGGCCATTCGATGGTAGCAGTCTGGCCTCTTCCACATTCTTGGCAGAAGACCTCTGTGTATATCTCCATTTCAGAAAATCCTGCTGCTGGTTCCACACCTGGTCTCCGGGTACCGCAGCCCTTCGACCTCTGACCTACCATCAGTGGGAATGCAGTTACATCTCTCGCACAACCCTGTCACGGGCTGTTTCTTTTCAGCTCATGGACATTTTTCATACCCCGGTCCACCCCTGTGTCCCTGATGGCAGCGTCACTCTTGATTCTTTCCAGTTGTTCTCCTACAGCCTCACTCACTAGCTGCGGAAAAGGGGCAGCAGCTCTGCCTCCTTCCCACAGGAGGCGTGGAGTGGGGCTGGCACATCCATAACTTTCTTTGAAGAAATCCTTCCCCATGATTTCTTGTCAACCCCTTTCTTTGAAAGGTATCTCTTGGACTAAGGGATGCAAAGTGTATTTTCAAGCAATTCCTTTGCACGTGCTGCTAGGTCTAGCGTTGTCCTTTGGCACGTGAGCAGTTGACATGGTTTTGGGGTGTCAGGCAAAAGACCCCCATTTTAACATCCATCTACAGAAGTTAAATGCAGTAGCACGGGTTTGTCTGAAGTATGAATATGAATCTATGTCCATAGGAAAGCCGTTGTATGTAGGAGACTCTCTTAAGTTAAAAAAAATGCTCAAACTCAAAAAGATTGGTAATTTGGATTACATTTTAAAAATAAATTATTCATGATAAAAGATACAAGATTAAAAAGGCATGTGACAGATTGGGAGGAAACAGTTTCAAAGATAACAGACAAATGACCAGCCTTCAGAATAGATAAACCGCCATGGACTACAGACTGATTTTTTAAAAAAAGGGACTTCCCCTGGTGGCGCAGTGGTTAAGAATCCACCTGCCAGTGCAGGGGACACGCATTCAGTCCCTGGTCCGGGAAGATCCCACGTGTGATGGGAAATTATTAGAAGTCATGGCCCCCACCCCAATCTCATTTCTCTGCCCTCCCCACTAGAAGTGCCCACCATCCTGGATTTGGGGTGTTGATGCTCAGGTTTTTAGTTATTGCTGCTAACTTACATATATTCTTTAGTATAGGAGTAGGGGGGCTTCCCTGGTGGCGCAGTGGTTGAGCGTCCGCCTGCCGATGCAGGGGACACGGGTTCGTGCCCCGGTCCTGGAAGATCCCACATGCCGCGGAGCGGCTGGGCCCGTGAGCCGTGGCCGCTGAGCCTGCGCGTCCGGAGTCTGTGCTTTGCAACGGGAGAGGCCACAGCAGTGAGAGGCCCGCGTACCACAAAAAAAAAACAAAAAAAAACTTAGGAGTAGGACCTCTTAATTACAGGTCACCAAATTTTACAACCTGATCTTCCAATGCTTGAGTTGAATTCACTTAGAATAATATTAAGTTAGACTAATTTGGGTGGGGGGGGTATTCATTTTGATTCCAGTATGGTTTATTGGTCATTTTCTGCTATAATACTGAAAATCCAGGTAATGGAGAGCAGCCACACGAATTAGATTGCAGGCTTCAGCCGCCTGGATTTGAATTGCTCTCTGCTGTGTGC